CAGGGGCGACAAATTGTCAGGGGCCGTAGTCAGGGGCGACAAATTGTCAGGGGCCGTAGTCAGGGGCGACAAATTGTAAGGGAACGTTGAATTGTCACAGGGGCGACAATTTGTCAGGAGCCGTACTCAGGGCCCGCATATCATCACAGGGTTTACAAATTGGCAGCCGCACTTGAGAGCAGCGCAAGGGATAACTCCGAAGACTACCGGACGGTCGTTCGCAATGGTCACACTTCCATAGGGGCAGTCGGAGCCCGACGAACTTTCGCTCATCAAGGAGAAGTAGGCCATCGGTCAAGCTCAGGTCATCGGTCAAGCCCAGGTCATTGAAGAAGCCTGGGTCGTCGACGAAGTCTCAAACATCGACGAAGCCTCAAACATCGACGAAGCCTCAAACATCGACGAAGCCTCAAAAATCGACGAAGCCCGCAAAAGAACTCCACACTGTGTAGCCCCTTGCGGTCATGTCGTGTACAGTAGTTTGAACTTGACTCTTCTTGGGCTTGTCCTCGCCGCCGCTCCTTGGCAGGAATGACGGGTCTTCTCAGGCGTACCTACCACTTATGGCGACGCCCGATGCCCCCTACAATCAGTCATTCGCTGCGCCAGGAGAGCCTGTTGCGGAGACTGAGAATCTCCTTGTCCTGAAACCTGGACGACAGTAGCCCAGTCACGAGTGGGTCAAGCCATGTTGAGGTTGCTTGAGATTAGAGTGGACTGCATTGTTCCACACCGCGCGCGAACCAATCTCTGCCTCGCTCTGTCCTGATCATCCCATGTCAAGTGACTTTGACGCAGAGCGGGAGACGCAAGAAGCACTACAGAGGAACTTTGACCAGTCCCTGCTTTGTGTCGGGAGTCTGCAAGACTAGCTCAGTGATGATACGCAGACCTGAAGACGCTGTCACAGTGCGCCGTGAGCAGCAGTACCATACACTGAATGCTTCCAGAACACTTCTCTTTCCTGCTCAGAGCACTTTGAGTCACAGTAGGAGAGACTGCGCGGAATGTACGACGCCTTGCTCACTCCAGCCGTATCGCCGTACTTTCGTCAATGTAACTTGCCTACTCCTCTCAGCTCTATAGACATCCCAGAAGCGTCGTAAGCTCTTTTGCATGTCTCACGCAAGCGAAAGTACGTTCAATGCAGCTCAGACCAGCGCACCCATATCATTGGTCGACACTTTGATGACAGCCTACCCGCAGCAGCCATTGCGACCCAATTGCCACATCCGAGAGGCACTGTCAGTGCCATCTCGGGACTTTGTAAAAGAGAAGGCGGCACCAGCACCAAGAGAAGGGAGGCAAGGATTGAAAAAAACGCATGTGCAAAGCGAGCATACTGTATCAGATGGCACACGGCCGAATTTGATTGCTTCGCAACTACGACAGATGAAGATTCCGAGAACGAACTGATTGACGAGTATCCGTCATGGCAGACATTTTTGACTGCATCTTAAGTAGGAGAGTGCAACATGGGCTGTCATTATTGTCCCCAAGTTCTATGCTGTCAGGTTGAATCTGCAGCTCGCATTCATCCTACGCGTGTCCGA